ATTTGAGTGCAGGTGTCTTTTTTCATAAAGTGACTTTTGAACTTTTGGGAAGATGCCCAGTAGTGGAATTGCTGGATCAAATGGTGCATCTACTTGTATTGCTTTGAGGTATCTCCATATTGCTTTCCACAGAGGTTGAACTGGTTTGCAGTCCCACCAGCAGTGTAGGAGTGTTCCTTTCTCTCCGCATCCACGCCAGCAATTGTTGTTTGGGGACTTTTTGATAAAGGCCATTCTCACCGGAGTTAAGTGATATCTCATTGTGGTTTTAATTTGCATTTCCCTGATGATTAGAGATGTTGAACATTTTTTCATATGTTTGTTGGCCATTATTCTGTCTTCTTTTGAGAAGTTTCTATTCATGTCCTTTGACCATTTTTTGATAGAGTTGTTTGATTTTTTTCATGCTGATTTTCCTGAGTTCTAAGTAGATTCTAGTTATCAGCCCTTTATCAGATGTGTAGCTTGCAAAAATTTTCTCCCATTCTGTGGGTTGTCTGTTTGCTCTCTTGACAGTTTCTTTGGCTGTGCAAAGGAATTTTTTTTTCATTAGGTCCCATTTGTTTTCATTAGGTCCCATTTGTTTATTTTTGTTCCTGTTGTGATTGCCTTTAGGGTCTTCTTCATAAATTCTTTGCCTAGGCCAATGTCCTTGCAGGTTAGATGTGTTTCTTGAAGGCAGCACATACTTGGCTTGTGTTTTTTATTCATTCGGCCAGCCTATGTCTCTTGAGTGGAGAGTTCAAGCCATTCACATTTACTGAGATAACTGATAGGTGGGGAAGATTTCTGTTCATTATGTTGGGTTGAACTTCATTGCTTTGTTTTCTCTCTTGAACCATTGTAGTGTCTGGACTTTGATCTTTAGCTTTGAGTAGATTTACATTCATGAGTGTTTATTGTGCTGATCCGTGGGTAACACTGTTTTGAGTACTCTTGAAGGCTGGTCTTGTCTTGGTGAATTCCCTCAGTCTTTGCTTATCTGAGAATGTCTTGATTTCTCCTTCATATACAAAACTTAGTTTTTCAGGAATAAGATTCTAGGCTGCACATTGTTCTGTTTCAGAAGAGTGAGAATGGGGGCCCAATCTTTCCTTGCTTGTAAAGTTTCAGTAGAGAAGTCTGGTGTTATTCGAATTGGCTTTCCTTTGTATGTTACTTGCTTCTTTCGTCTTACAGCTCTCAGAAGGGCCTCTTTAGTTGATATTTTGGTCAGTCTGATGACTGCATGTCGTGATGTCTTCCTGTTTGCATTGACTCTCCCAGGGGTCCTCTGAGCTTCTTTAACTTGGATATCAAGATTTTTAGCAAGGCCTGGGAATTTTCCTCTATGCCAATATTTTCAACCAAATAGTTGTCCAACCTTCCCTTCTGGCAACCCCTATGACCCTTCACATTAGGTCTTCACATTAATTCCATACCTCTTAAGGACAAGAACAAGGGTGCAACTCGCCTTCTCCACCCCTCCATGCCCCCACACTGGCTGCTGGGCTTCCGCCAGCCAAGGCCACCGGGAACCGAGGTCAACGCGTGTCCTGGGGCAAAAGTGATGCAAACGGATGGAGTGAGCAGAATGACTATCCAGCTATGCACTTTGTGAAGGACAGTGGTTGCCAGGAGGTCACTTCGATATCGGGCAGCACATACCGAGAAATGAGTAAAAGCAGTGGCCTCTGGGGAAAGACATGGGGATGGTGGAAGAGTGGGGGAGGGGGTAGAGGATGGGGACCAAGACAGAGAGCTGCGGACTGGGCCGCGGAAACTGCCAGCCCTTCAGTGCTGCATGGTCTCTGGTGTGCACATACGACTTTGATGAGAATAAAAGTAACGTAAAGACTGGAAAGTGATTGATTCCTGGGGTCCCTCACTCTAAACTCGGCTAATCTAGTGCTACCACGTGTGGCCCGGTACACCTGTGCCTTCCAACCTCTCAGCAATGCCCCTGCGCTGTCCAGGGACACAAAAACCACGGAGGCTCCCTCTCAACCGGAGCCACTGGCTGGAGGACCACAAGTGATCACCATGACTCCACGACGCCCACCCAGCCTGGCCAGCGTCGCCCATACAGGAAACGCATACGTATGTGATGAGAAAGGAGGTCAAAGTGCACACACCAGGAACAGGCCTTTATGGAGAAATGCACCAGCTCCTTTTCAATACACACGGATTTAAAAGGGACCTTAAGTTATGAGCTGACAAACTTTTCTATCAAGGACACGTAAATATTTTAGGTTTTGCAGGTCACTTGGTCTCTGTTGCACTTTGCTGTTATAACAAAAACCAGACACACACACGAGACCCTGACAGGCTTGACTATGTCCCAGTGAAAGTTTATTCAGACACTAAAGTTTGAATTTCATGACTTTCACATCATGAAGTATTATTTTGGTTTCGATTTGTTTTCCATCATTTTAAAAACATGAAAACCATTCTTTGCTGACAGGCCCACAAAATCAGGTAGGGACGGCGTGTGACCTGTAGGCCTGACCAAACCTGAATTTTCCCTGAAACTGAGACTCTCAAAGCACATTTCTGAGAACACACACCCCCTGCCAGGTGCCCCCGAAGTTCGAGCGAGGCCCGGGCCCTCACCCAGGAAGACGACTGGGCGTGGCCTCTGCTCTGTGGCTGCTGCAGCTCGGGGCGGGGGGGCAGGCCTGGGCGTTTCACAGATGGCACTGTGTCCAGATCGATGTTAAAAGAAAAGGCACTTATGAAAAATCTGAATCATTCCACCTTCTGAAATACACAGGATTTTGTTTCTAACTCCTCAGTGGAAACCCCACGCCTAAGCCATCACCAACGCGCAGCTGTTCCCACGACTGAGATGTCATCACAGGGGGCAGGGGGCCGAACCAGAAGTTCAGCAGTAAAAGAACCTCAGCCCGCAGTGAACGCATCGGTCACAGCGGTACGTGCACCAAAATGCCCGGTTCAACGTATCCTGAAACGTGTTCCACGTGTTGTGCTAAATGTTTCCGGAAAGTTGCAAAAAGCTTGTCCTTGTGGATCAGTGATTAGAACTCGGCTGACAACCCAGCCATTTTGCAGCCTATGCAAAAGTCAAATCAAGTATTAAATATGCATGACGTCATCAACCATTTCCCTGCAAAACTGGGTTTTTAGCCAGCGCCCGTGTCCTCACACTTCCGGAAACAAATCCACCTCCTGGGCCAGCGCTGCCTAACAGAGTCCCCTGTGATGACAGGCGTGTTGCTGCACTTCCCACGTGGGAGCAGGCGTGTTGCTGCACTTCCCACGTCAGCGCCACGTGCTGAGCACAGGCAACGTGGCTGCAGCTGAGAGGAGCTAATTCTGCCGAGTTTCAAGGTCCCCATGTGGCAGGTGGCCACCTACCTGGCAGCACACCTGGAGGGAGGCTGTGGAGCAACATGAAAATGTCTCTGTGGCCCACACGTCACTACGAAAACGTGTGCCTGCTGATCTCCCCTGGAGATAGACGCAGCTGGCACGAACGGTGTTGTGGGCAAAGTAAAAAAATCAGCAAGTGACTCTCGTGCGGGTTCGCGCTGCCTCCAACACGAAGATTCAAGTGCTTTGCGGCGCTGCTGCTCCCCCTGCAGTCTCTCAGTTAAGCCAAAGCCCTGCGCGGCTTCCCTTCAACAAGGGGACACAGACACCCACAAAAGCCTGTGCTCAGTGACACAGAACATGCTAGAGCCCAAGAGACCATCCCCTCCTGAGCCGTGCTGGTTGGGACCTAACTGCCGCCATCTTTTTCTTCTTCAAAGGAGCTGCCAGGGTGAGGGGAAACAAGCGCAAGCTGCCCCGCTGTCTCGTGCTGAGAGAGCCACGGCCGACCACCAGGGTCAGCAACTCCAGGCCGCTGGCCCCGGCCTCGTCCCCTTGGTCTGCCCATTGGGCCCGGGTGGGGGGCTCTGCCGCCGCTGCCGCTTCTCCCGCTGCTGCTGCAGCCGCTCCTCTTTCTTCTGCAGGTAGGAGGTCATGTTGTCGAAGGTGGCCTTGTAGAGGCCGCTGAAGCCGGCGTCGGCGCCAGCACAGCCTGTCACAGGGAACGAGAACAGATGCCAGAAGGGGCGGTGATGCGACACTCGGCCTCCAGCAGGGGCCTCGCGTGCCCAGAAGCCAGAATTCCCGCAAGGCCCTCCCGCAACAGGGAGCTAACCTGGCGACACCCAAGGTGGACTGTGGACGGCGCCTTCTGAGATGCTCCCATGGTGCCCACCTCCTGGGGACCAGCTCCCAGAAGAGCGCGGCACCCTGGGAGGCCAGGCACCGAGGGTGGGCCTGCACCCGCCGGCGCTCTCCCACCCCGCGCCGAGGAAGCCGCTGCTGCGAGCTGCCCGCTGGAGACCACGGCAGGCCCGGGCAGCAGGGAGGAGGAAGGCAACCCTCCTCCCTGGGGCCCGCTTGCCCTCCCGCCTTCTGGGTGGGGACACACAGAGGCCGCACATCCCGTTCGCCGGGTCTTCCCTCGCTCACTCGGTGGGTCCCTGGTGAGTCCCTACGTGGGCCGGTCTGTGGTCTGCTCCTCAGCACAGTGCCTGGTCCTTGACAGGCAGCCCATCCTCACCTGCCAGCATGGCCCAGTGCCCACGAAGCACGCCGGAGACGGTCTGCACCACAGCACTTTCAGGAACCGACTGAGGAGGACAAATGGGACGCGTTCCTCAGTAAGGGCTGAACACCCAACACCACTCACAAGGCCCGCTGCGTGTGGCCCGGCTGCCGGTTGGGGAAGAGGTCGGGGCCAGCAGCCTGGCGACCCCAGCACTCCCCACGAAGACCCCAGGAGGAAGCACCGCATCCCATCCAGACCAGCCCTGCACAGGCCGAGCTCTTCCTGGCTCAGGGGCCCCAGAAGCCTCACAGCTCACACCACGCAGATGGCTACTTTTCAGATTAAAAACACCTGAATGGTTTAAGGGCATCTCCAAAGCTATGGCAGAAGCGCGGAGGCTCGCGAAGAACCTCCAACATTTCATCCGCCTCACCCCCAGCAGTCCCGTGAGACGCCAGACAGACAGGTGTTGCCCTCACATCACAGGGCACCGGCCCCGGCCCTCACCCCTCCCTCTGCCCAGGAGGCTCCTCGTGCTGGCTCGTTCCCAGCCAGCACCCGGCCCAAGGCCACACTGACAAGCATCAGCAAATGTGACTGTCACCAAAGCGTGGCATGGGGAGCCCCAGGAGAAATATGCCAGTGACAGCAACCCCCCAAAAGAACTGCTACGGCCATCACCACGGGGACAAGCTGGCCGGGCACTTGGCTGCCCTCGCCCACACTGAGGCCCCAGGCCTCTGCCCCTCAGGACACAGCTCCTGGGACCCAGAAGCGACCAAGCTGGAAGAGGCACACGTGCAGAACCAAAACCCTCGCTGTTCCCCGCCAGGCCTGTGGCACCACAGGGCCCAGACGCGGAGAAGCCGCAGAGCCTCACCTGCCAATGGCCGTCCACAGGCCTGCAGAGCACCAGCGGGGCCTCGCGGCTGTCCTGCAGAACCCACAGCCCCCGCGCCTCCTCGAAAGCCACGTCCCACACACAGTGCTGGAACGACAGCCGCTGTCTGTACCGCAGCTGCTGCCCGAGGGCGTCGAGCTGGAAGATGTAGACCACCGGGGTGCTTTCCACGAGAAAGAGAGGACCATTACTGAGGCCTCGGGCCCACGTGGGTATTGTCCCAGACAGCACCCAGCACCCCGTCCCTGGGGACACCGTCGTCAGGGGACAACTGGGCAAGAAGACCCAGCCGAGCTGCTCTCAACAACTCTGTGACCCGAGACAACCGCAAGATGCCACGTGTTTGCTGTTTCCGTCCATATGCTCTAGAGCAGGCGTCCTCAAACTACGGGCCCCAGGCCATACGCGGGTGTTTTTGCCCGTTTGTTTTTTTACTTCAAAATAAGATATGTGCAGTGTGCATAGGAATTTGTTCATAGTTTTTTTTATTTTTTTTTATTTTTTTTTTTTCTAAAATGCTATCATTAAGGATACATAGTTTTTTTTAAACTATAGTCCAGCCCTCCGACGGTCTGAGGGACAGTGAACTGGCCCTGTTTAAAAAGTTTGAGGACCCCTGCTCTAGGGTAACCTGCTGGGAAGCAACAGATGACTGATACTGCGCAAAGGGGGGGGAGGTGGAAGGCGCCATTCCGCTGTATCGCAGCAGACGGGACTCTGGTGCTACCTGGACAGCACTGCCATCTTTGCACCTGCGTCCTGGCTTCTAAAGCCGAGAAACTTCCACAGGCTTGTCACGAGGACAAAACGGGAAGCGCAGGAAACACCAAACACCCGTCCTGGAACACGGGCTGCTCAGGAAGCACCAGGGGAGTCGCGCTCACACCCCACGTCACCCGTGAGCCACTGACCCCCAGGTGGGTTCTGTCACCCACGGTTCTGCGGTGGGACTCACTGAGGTGGATGCGACAACAACTGGACCGCAGGGGAAACCTACCACGCTCAAAGGCCCACGTAGAGGCCACCGCTACGCGCTAAGCCCGTGGGTTAAACAGCGAGCGAGTGTGAGCTGTGAAAGGAACCCACAGCCCGCACAGCAACCATCAAAGATCGACACGTCCCAGAGGGAGGTGTTGTGCCAGTATCACCGTCCACAGCCCTGAACTGAGGGACACAGCCTGGGGCCGACGGAACCACCCACACCCAGTACCGCCCTGCAGGTCCGTGCTTACCAGTCGCACAGCAGCGCGACACAGCCCTCGCGGCGCCAGAAGGCGATCCTGGACGCGGCCAGCCTCTGAAAGGAACAGCAGCTGATTAACCACGACCACCTGTCGGGCCCTCTCGGGCCGCTCCAGCCAAACCAGGAACAAACCAAAAGACACTCACAGATCCCACACTGCATCAGAGGGAAAGAGGAGGTGATGCGAGAACATTCTGGAAGGCAGAGGGGCAAAGGAGGGGAACAGTGACTCCCTGGTTCTCAAATGGACCAAATGCCAAGATAGACAGCAAAGGCCGCTCCGCTGCCCTGGCCCTCCCTGAGCCTGTGAAATGCCTCCAAAAACCAACAGATAGGTCAAAAGACAAGGAGGGGGAAGAAGAGGACGCATGTGGAAAGGAAAAGATTATTAGTTACAGAGACAACTGCCCATGAGCTTCCACACTTCCTGGAAGAGGAAATGCTGGAAATGAACCACAGTCTCCTGATGTGTGGAGGGAAAGTGGTGCCCGCCTGCGGTTCTCAGCAGGAAAGGCTGACCCACCAGGACACTTAACCAACGCCAGCGCTCAGGGTGCCGTGAGGTCACTCCCAGGTGGACAGCCCTGCCCTGCTGGCAAATCCACCTCGAAGCTCTGAGCTCAAAACCACTATCTTTCCCACTGCCAAGTGGGATCAGAGGCCTCTCTGTGAACTAGCTATTCACGCGAACACAGTGAGGCACATGCCGTTTCCCGCTCACATGCCCAGACACCTTCAGAACGTGAAATACGAGGTTCTCCCACACTGGAGGAAGGCTGTGCTGACAGCACGACAGCTAAGCAACCCTCCCACACCCTACAAGCACCCACCAGCCCCAGGGTGGACACAAACTGCTACCTTCTGGCTGCAGGGCTCCACCAGCTCTTGCAGACTGGCCAGGTGACAGCAGTACAGTTGGTGGCCGCTTCTGTACTCCCAGAGCCTCAGAGTGCCATCCTGTACACACGAAACGGACAGGTCAGCAAGCAGGGTCACAGGGCTTCTGCCAGCTGTGGGTGACCCAGAGGACAGCTGAGGCTGGGGTGCACTTGATGACAGCCAGCACCCCCTTACAAATTAAAGGCTCCCTGCTTACCACTGTGTAGAGAGTTCACGCAGAGCACAGAGATAAACAGGTAACCCCACAGCAGAATGGGCCGAGGACAGCGACAACAAGACCTTCACACACTAGGAGGTTGAGGCCATGTCTGCTGTGCTCGGGCCAGGCATGCGCACATCCACACACACAAGGGTGCACTGACACTGCAAGGATCACACACTCACACAGGAACATGTGTACTCATGAGCATGTCACCGCCGTCCCACTTCAGTTTAAAAGTGGGTGGAAAGGACAGGTCCATCGGCCACCATGGACAGTGTTGACAGGCATGACCTTCAAGGACAACAGTATTTGCCATTTGCCCCAGGGCTCTAAAGCAATCATCCGAAAAAAAGAGTCTGTATTTTAAAAACTGTCATTCCAACACTGATCACGGTGGAGGGAAATGGAAAGAACCGGCCCATCTGCGAGTGATGGGAAACTCGGAGACAGAACAGGTCCATGCCAGCACTGACCACAGCGACCCCTGAGGGACTGAGCACAGACAGGCGCAGACTGAAACTGAGGGGACAGTGGCATCGTTTGTGAGCACTGTTAAATGACCAAAAGAAAAAGATGGAAAGTATGATAAATACCCAAACTGCTAACAGTAGGTATGTGCCCAGTGGGTGCTGGAATAGACTGTATGTGTACACACACCCCCACACCCATACACGCTATGCACACACCACACACCAGGCACACACACACTGCACACCCCTTGCCACGAGTCTGGCAGATAAATGTGAAATCAACACACACACACCCGCAGGTGTACACACTCACTCCCAAACCTCTCTACAAGAAAAAGGTGTTTAAAAACCACGAACCCACTAGGACAGACAATAGGCAAGAAGAGAGGAAAAGACAACAGCCAAAAGATGTCAAGGAAACCTGTGACACTAGAAGCAAATGACAGACTGTCCACAGAGAAGGACGCCTGTGACAGCATGAGCCGCAGACCAGGCAGGGGCTGCTGGCCAGAGGGCAGGGTGACGGGGGAGCCGTGCAAAGTCTTCCCAAAGAGCACCTGGACCTCCCGGTCCCTGCCCTCAGCTCCACGCTCCACGCCAGCAGGAGATGGAGGTTCACTCTTTGGGGAAGAGGAGCCAGAGGGGCCGTGGTCTCAGGGACATCAGAGACACCTCCCAGAGCGCTGGGGACAAGCTATAACTCTAGGGAAGAAGGACGACCAGAGACACTGAGCACCCAGAGAAGAGACGGATGGCCCCACGTGCACTGCAGAATCCCACAGGAGGTTGCTGGGCCGGTGCCTAGACAACTGCTCTGACACCTCCAACATGTCCCTGACACAGCGGACAGAGGGGATTATGGACACCTGAGGAAAACCTCCAAGGAGCAAGGCGGACACACGTGCAGCAGAGACAAACCCACGGCAAGGAGCAGCTGCGAGGAGAAAAGCACACGCTCCACCTGGGTGAGATCCAAAGATGCTGCACTCAGAGTGCAAGGACGGGTAGCTGTAGAATACATTCTGAGGACAAGAAATGGCTCTTGAAAATTAAAAATAACAAAATAAAAATCATTTTTAGGCTGGGCGTGGTGGCTCATATCTGCAATCCCAGAGCTTTGGGAGGCCGAGGCAGGAGGACCACTTGAGCCCAGGAGTGCAAGACCAGGCTGGACAACACAACCGGAACCAGTCTCTTAAAAAAAAAATGCCCATCCCAAGGCACCTCGACAGCTGATCAGCAGGTGCCCTGCTTCAAGGGTGTACACCCTCCAGGCAGGCTGGTGGGTGCGTCCAGCAGCTCGTGCGATGGGCCAGACCTCTAAGAGTCAGAGACAGTCTCCCTGTCGACTTCTTTCACTGAGACCCTGACGCTGTCATAGACAGAGCAGCAGCCCTTGCAACAGATGCCTTCCAGACCCATTCCAGTTCACCACACGTGTGAACGCAGCACACACGTGCACGCATGCGCGCGCGCACACACACATGGCCCTGGATGAACAGCTGTGAGTGAGGGGCAAGCCATGGGCCACTCTAAGGAACAAGCACCATCCAGTGTCAGCCACTGATGACTGGGGACACCCAGACTTCAGACCACAGCTGGGGACTAAGGGCCGGCTCTGCAAGGTGACCCCTACCCAACAGGCGCCCCCTCCCCGCAGCGGCCCTGGGCAAAGCACTTACCCCGGAGGAGGACAGGAGCAACTCAGAATAACCCGGCACCACGAAGATGCGGCTCACAAACCTGTGGTGAGACGAAGCAGGTGTCAGCGCCCCAGCTACCTGCACTGCAGGGCGGCCGCCCATTCACTGCAGGGAGAGAGCCCTTCTCTGCCCCAAACCCCTGACCTCCAACAAAACCAGGCAGGGTGGGGAAGAGGAGCACATGTAACCAGGTGACAGCCCCTGCACAGGCCAAGGCAAGTCGGACCATACCCCGTGTCACCCTTGGGTCACCAACAACATGACAACCTCCAAGCAGGGGCAGGGCCCTGGGTGAGCCACATCTGCCAACCAGCTGTGCCTGGCAGCACCCAGAGACCCACCCTGACCCAAGGCACCTATGTTGAAGCCTGGAGACAGCAGAACCCAGGTGAGAGTCAGAGGACGGACCATAGAGGTCATCAGACCACAGGCAGTGACGGATCAGAGCCCCGACGGCCCCTTGATGACAATGTGGCCCGGGTAGCAGGACTCTGACTGACCTGGCTAGACCTGTCTCCGCCCTGCCCAGCCCACCCTCAAGGGCTCAGCATGCAACAGCACAGGACACAAAGTCCCAGCCACTCTGCCACCAAAACAGCCACCAAAAGTAAAACGAGCCACCCAGCTCTCCTGAAACCCACCTGGAAATGCTGGTCACCAACGTGCACCTGCAGGGGCACGATCCCATTTTTCTTCCCTGCACCAGGACCACCCTGGCCCCCCACGGAGGTGCTGAAGTTCTACTCTCAGGTCCTTCAAAAGGAAAAATAACAACCCTACACCCAGGACAGACAGAGTACAGCAGGCGCATTGCAGAGAGTGCCTGTGGCCTCACAGTTCTCAACAGGAAAGGCTAGAAACCACGACTTCCGCAGGTTTGAAATACAATTTTACACAATAATTATCACTAATATTTATTCAATCACAGAAGTATCTACTGAGCACCTACTCCACGCCAGGCCCCGTGCTGAGGACTGGAGACAACATTGAACAAAACCGACCAACAAAACCACCAGGATGCTACAGGCGATAAACAGATTGTTAAGTATCAGCCAAGGGTTCAAACCAGCACTGTCTGGCAGAAATACAATTCCAGCCACAAATGCGAGCCGTGGATGTCATTAAAAATTCACCAGCGGCCATGTTGAAAAACAAAGTAGAAACAGGTGAAATTGATTTTAACGCTCTGTTTCTACAGAACTCAGTACATCCAAGTGATGGGGCATTTCCCAAGGGGGAGGATGGGGAGACCCCTGAGGCAGAGGCAGCACCGAGCGGAAAGCGCAGGTGAGGAGCTGCGTGGGGAAGAGCACTCCTGGCAGCAGACGCAGCACTTGCAAAGGCCCTGAGGCAGGAGCCGGTGCCCGGCGGGGTCAGGAACTGCAAAGACCCAAGTGAGACACAGCAGAGGGGAAAGGGCCAGGGACTGGCAGGTAATAAGAATCCCAGAGCTGCAGAATTAAAGAAAAGTCAAAACAAGCTACCACAAGGTATGATACAAACTGAGTGGCCACTGGCCTTCTCAGAGGTCGAATTTCTGTGTTCCATGCAAACATCAAGAAAACACGAACAATTTCAGAATTAAAGACTGAACTGAATCCCTCCAGTTTCTCCCACTGCCTCAAACAGTGTGTTTTAGAACGTTTCAGCCAATAAATAAATTAAGCACTTTTCCTCTGCACAAATTCTGCTCAGCCTTCTGCCTGAGAAGGCGGGACTCCAGAACACCTCCCACGCACGTGGACCCAGCTCCCGACCGAGAGCTCCTCTGCCACAAGAGAGAGTCACAAGGCTCAGAGGCTGGGTTCAGAGTGTGCTCCTCGTCCCCAAGCACATCCACCTGCTAAACACTAACGACCGCCAGGCACTGCCCAGAGACCTCTATGCTGAGGATGGGGTTTTCCAGAAACACACCCTGGTGAGGAGGCCAACATGGCACCGGCCAGTGAGGAAGGACAGACAGGAGGCACCGGCTCAGAGTGAGCTCCGCTCTCACCAGACTTCTGTGGGCCGCAAACCAGTGGTGCCTGCGGTGCCCGAGCACAGGGGGCTGGTCTCACCCAAGCAGGGGCCTCGCCAGCAACAACAGCACTTGACGTGGGGCCCTTCCACAAGGATGCTCCCCTAGCGCACCACGGCTCCCAGCACCGAGGCTCCACCTGCATCTGCCTGAAACCCGAGCCTCTCTGTGCTGGGGGACGGGCAAGGGCACACTCACTCAGTGTGCCCGAGGCAGAAGGATTCGATGCTGTGGGGTGCCGCCGCCCAGCTCACCCGGATCTTCTCGTCCCGGTCAGCAGTGAGGATGAAGCTGTCGTCAGGACTCACGGCCTATGTCGGAGGGGGTTGGAAAGCAAGAGCCGCCTGTTTGCTCGCGCGGCACCACGGAAACACTTGGATTTTCTCCAGTGAGGAGGCTGCCTAAGCACTGGGCCCTCCTCCCTCTCCGGCCAGGTCCCCAGCCAGGAGAGTCAGCCCTCGCTCCTCCGAGCTGGGCCAGGTTCCCACAGCGGGGCAGAGCCAGGTCTGCCCATCCTGTTCCCTGCACCCAGGCACATTCGGACCCAACTCCTCTCTCCACCTGCCACACCCTCTTGTCTCCAGTGCCCCAGGCTGCCTTCCCTAAGTCACGCGTCCAGCAGACACTCCGTCCTGTGAGGTTCCCTTCAACCCCACCCCATGTTACTGACTGTCCCCTGTGGGCTGACCCAGTGCCCCCCAGCTGTGGGACGCAGCCTCACGGAGCTCCGGGGCCCTAGGGGCCTGGGACACATGGGGCGGAGCTGCTGGGAGGAATATCGAGGTGACATCCGTAAAGCACATGTCACAGCCTGGCCCAGGAGGCCAAGCCCAGGGCTCTTGGCACGCCTGCCCCTCCTACCTCCCTCCCCTAAGGCCCCTGACCTGGGGTCACCTGGGGCCCGACTAGAGCAGCTCCTCACAGCTGGAACCGTTGCCCATCTCCTAACTTGCCTCTGTCCACGCTGCCAGCTGCTTCACCTTCCTAACCCCGTTCCTGTCGCTCCTCTGCTCCCCAGTATGCAGAGGGCCGTCGCAGGAGAGACTCGGGCATACAGACCCAGGCCTCTCCTCATGGATGCACCGGCCTCCGCCACACCTGAGCCGTGCCCGGGGCAGACGTTAATCCAGCGCGCCCCCACTTACCACGTCCAACAGCATAGACAGGTGCCCGAGCTCAAGACGGCCACACCCATGTGGCTCCGACACAGAAAAGGAGTAGACGTCTCCAGACTTGTCGGCCACCAGGATCTTCTCCTCGGAGGCGGTGAATGTCAAGGCCGTACACCTCCTCACCACGGCCCTGGAAGCCCAGAGACACTCCTGGTTAGTTCCCATGAGCTCGACTCTTCGACACCCAGGGCTTCCCGTTCAGTGGCCCGAGCCACACGCTCTTCTCTAGCTGCGCAGACAGTGCCCGAAAAATAAAGGCAACATAAAGAACTCCAGTAAAGTCAGACTTGCCTTACACAAATTTTACTTTTATAATTTTTTCCTTTAAGGAAATTACTCCCAATCAGGGGCAGGGAACCTGTGGCCTCCTAATTTCAAGACTGTTCTTTCTTAAGCATAAAGGGGCAAGAAAGCTTCATCCTTCCCCGCTGCACCTTTCAATGAAAGGATTCAATCTGTAAAATGTGGATTCAGCTGAAAAGGTGCACACATGGATCCAGAAGGCTACACGGCACCAAGGCCACGGGTCCCCACCCCTGCCGGCAGTGGCACTGTCAAGGACAAAAGCAGGCACAGCCGCCTAGGGCCCTCCCAGCCTTGCCACACACCCTGTAGGCTACCTGTCCCATGTCCAGCCCACTGCTGCTCCTCCAGCCTCACCAGACCAGGAGCTCCCCAAGAACTGCCGCACTCCATGCCCAGATGGACGGCCCACCCTCCACCTCCCCGCTGGGGCCAGACGAGGCACAGGGCAACAGTGAGGTGGCACCGCACCTCTCAAGGAGGTGAGCCGCTATGCAGCACGTGGCACGCTCTACTCGGGGATCAGCACACCCATGAATTCAGTCCTTGGACCAGAGCCACTCGGTGTGTCACTTTTGCAAGTTAGTTCAATGAGAAACCAAGTACGGTTCACTCCATCTCCTTAACCAGGGGTCAGGGGTTATGCTATGTCCTCCCATTACCACTTTTCACGTCGTTTCTACCAAATCTCTTCACAGTATATACATTCTCTCCAAACAGCCAGGTAGCAATGTGTTTTACATTGATACAAGTCATAACATTGCTTTACACACACAGTTACATGAATGGCCTCCTCACAGAAGAGCGACCATCCCTGCCTTCCTTGTCCCCAGGGCACTGCCCACTACCGATAAAGAGCTCACGTCCAGGCAGGCCACCACAGGGCACCCGCTCACTGCAGATGGAATGCCAGACATCAGCCTGAAATGCAGAGAGCAGCTTGAGGAGCCCTGTCTCCAACACATGGACCAAACAGGACCCCTGCACTTCCCGCAGGGGCAGAGGGACAAAAGGACAGAAGAAAGCAGGGAGGGGCCTCTGTCTGCACCCCTAGTCACTGCCACCCTCCACGTGCCTGTGCCAGTGAAGCTGCAGAAGGGAGGCGTGACAGGATAAATATGCAGACAACAATGACAAAAGGGCGGGCGTGGTGGTTCACACCTGTAATCCTAGCACTCTGGGAGGCTGAGGCAGGATTATTGCTTGAGCTCAGGAGTTAGAGACCAGCCTGAGCAAGAGTGAGACCCTGTCTCTACTAAAAATAGAAAAATTAGCTAGACAACTAAAAATATATAGAAAAAATTAGCCGGGCATGGTGGTGCATGCCTGTAGTCCCAGCTACGCGGGAGGCTGAGGCAGGAGGATTGCTGAGCCCAGGAGTTTGAGGTTGCTGTGAGCTAGGCTGACACCACAGCTCTCTAGCCCGGGCAACAGAATGAGACTGTGTCTCAAAAAAAAAAAAAAAAAAATCCAACAGCATCAGAACAGGCAAAAATAAATTAAAAAAAAAAAAAAAAGACAAAAGAAAAACCTGGGGCAAGACCAACCCAGGCTCTCAGAGCGCACGGTAATTTAAACAGAAGGCAGCGCCACGCCATAAACGTGACCACAGCATCCCAAGGGCAGCCCAACAAATCCTCTAAGAGTGATGGCCTCAGACTTGAGGATCTTGTGCCCCCCATGCAGATGAACAGCACAGATGGGACCCCAGGCCATGCTCGCCTATCCAGCTCTGCAGAGGTGGCAGTCCTCATCCCGGCCTGTCTTCGCTAGCTAGGGACTTCCAGCTGTAAGCTAAGTGCACCCTAGCAGTGATTCCAGGATTCTCAGCCATATGGGCAGGCGTGGGGGCAAGGGTCCCAGGGAGTCAGGTCACAGAATGGGGCAGGTCATTGGAGAGAGGACAGCAGCAGCCTGGCACGTCACTCCAGCTGAAGGCACCCCAGAGAGCTGAAGCCCGCAGATCTCCTGGCCTCTGCAGGGCCTCAGATCTCAGCACTTCCCTAAAGAATCCTAGGGTTCACGGCCCAGACCCCAGCAGAACACAGCCAAAGAGCACCCTCTCCGCAGGCCCCGCAGGGCTGCCTGGCCTGTCTTCTCTGCCAGTGGGGCCAGCAGCTGAGCCCGGAACCCTCCCGAGAGCCGTGGGCTCAGATCCTGCCAGGGCAGCAAGGATTCCAAGTGCAGACGCCAGCTCCAGCCCAAGCTCCTAGGACTCCCATCCAGCAGCCAGACCCCTGCGGGCAGCACAGGCCGGATCTGACTTCCCGGGGCTCTGCCTGCTCCATGTGCTGCTACTATTCTCACACAGGCGTCTTCTGAAACGCTGTGACTTCACTGCTAAGATTTCTCAGGTATAAATGCATGTGTCAAAACTGAAAGCATCATTCGTCACCCCATGTCCTCATCTTTGGTTCGGAAAACCTGCCTTGGTTCCATGGGCCAGAAAAGAGTCTCCTGATCTGCCCAGGTCACACATCCTCTGGCCTTTTGCCATTCTAAACTGCTACCTGGAAAGGAATGGTTGTTGCTCACAATTTCCCTCTTGGCTGTGCCTCAAAACCCTCAAACATTAAGTTTGAAAGCAGCGGCCCAGCAACAAAGAGACCACTGGACAGAGTGCAGAGGTTGGTCCCAGCTCGAGCGAGTCCTGCAGGGGCGCAGGGCCTCCTCAGTCAGTCAAATGTAGATAAACGAGTGTGAGGATCCCTTGAAATTGAACTGCAGGTCAGATATGTAAAGGATAGGCGTTTTCCTGGGTCTATGCCCCAAAGAGTAAAAGGCCACCAGTTAGGGGAGCATTGCACCCTCCCAACCACCTGAAAATGGACCAGCCCCAGGCTGGTTCTAATCACCTCCCGTCCTTTCCACAAAAGCAGCTCCTGCTGTCCCAATGGACAAACCTCTCCCCACTATCCTTCCTTTCCCCACTCTTGCCCCCCAAATCTACTCCTCCTACCAGAAAAATCTCTCACTTCCCATTAGAGAAAAAGTAAACATTTCAATCCACTTAATGCTGAAAAATCCACAAACCTAAAATTCTAATGGAATTTAAAAAAAAATTCCTGAGCAATATGCCAAGAGGTTGGCAATAACCATACACCTGACTACCTACCACCTGCACCTATCACCCTACAGTGTATTAATAACCAGGAGAGGCCGGGCACAATGGCTCACGCCTGTAAAACTAGCACTCTGGGAGGCCGAGGCGGGAGGACTGCTTGAGCTCAGGAGTTCGAGACCAGCCTGAGCAAGAGCGAAACCCCGTCTCTAATACAAATAGAAAGAAATTAGCCAAACAACTAAAAACAGAAAAAATTAGCGGGGCATGGTGCCAGGTGCATGTAGTCCCAGCTACTCGGGAGGCTGAGAAAGGAGGATCGCTTGAGCCCAGGAGTTTGAGGTTACTGTGAACGCCACGGCACTCTACCCAGGCAAAAGAGTGAGCCCGTCTCAAAGGAAAAAAAAAAGAAAGTGACAGAGAACACTCAGAGGCGCAGTAAGGCAGGCAGAACACTTACAGGACTGCTGCACAGCAGGGGAAGAGGAGGCCCAGGGTGTCAGTGTGCTGGCCCATGCTGCTGACCTCCCCACCCACCCTTCAGACACTTAGAGATAAGAGCACTAAACCCACCCAGCTTAAAACTGTGGAACAGATGCCTTAACCTATCTAAAACCCCAACAGCTACACAGTACAAGCTGACATCCTGCTCCTGCTAATCACAAGACTAGAGCAGCACGCTGGAATATGGGACAGCACAGTTGCCAGGGGCACTGACCCTGGAGCCAGAGTGACTAGCCAGGGGGCCTGGCTCTGCCTTTCCAAGCTGGCTGACCTGAGATCGGATACCCAACTGCTTGCCACCAAATGTGGAAGAGAATAACGCCCCTGTCCACCCCCAAGGCTGATATGAGGATCAGATCCGTTAATACAGAATCAGTTAACAATACAAAGCACTGAAAACAGTGTCTGGTACCTAACTTGTGTTTACCACCGCTGTCACTATCGTGACAGGCATGCAAGTACAAGGAGTGCACATGACATCTTAATTACCCAGTGTTAGCATTTCATACCTGACACTCAGACATTGCCATGGTTTTGTACGGAAAAGAATCAGACGCTTACTGTCATCGGTTAAAGCAAAATAGCGGCCAGACTCGGAGAAGGTGGATGCCAGAATCGCACCGCTCCCCGGGACGAAGGGTGGCCCATCCTCCCTGAGAAAGAGAACAGGAAAATGATTAGGCGCCAACTGAGCAAATACGGCTGCATTCCGCAATGGCCAGCTCGGTAATTCTAATGTGGGCAGAGGTAGAAAATGGTAAGAGTTAAAAGGTTCATGTGGCCAGAATATTAAGACATATTAAGAGGGCCGGGCACGGTGGCTCACGCCTGTAATCCTAGCTCTCTGGGAGGCCGAGGCAGGAGGATTGCTCGAGGTCAGGAGTTCGAAACCAGCCTGAGCAACAGCGAGACCCCGTCTCTATTATAAATAGAAAGAAATTTATTGGCCAACTAATACATATAGAAAAAAATTAGCTGGGCATGGTGGCGCATACCTGTAGTCCCAGCTACTCGGGAGGCTGAGGCAGGAGCATCGCTTGAGCCTAGGAGTTTGAGGTTACTGTGAGCTAGGCTGATGCCACGGCACTCACTCTAGCCTGGGCAACAAAGCAAGACTCTGTCTCAAAAAAAGGGGGGGAGGGGATGGGGAGGGTCAAAACAGCTCTAATTTGACAGGAGTGAAACATAACTGAACAGAAAAACTCAGCATACATGCCAGAACCCAAACAGCTGAGCTGGCAGGACCCCCAGAGAGCCCAGGAACCACCCCTCCTGGAAAGGGACTAATCCAAGGCCAGAGGTAGGGACAAAAGCACCTTAAAAATAATGATAAAACAAACTGAGCCACAGACCATACTAAAGAAAGCCACCACACACAAAATCACACACTCTTTTATCCTTCAATGAGCTAAAGTTAATTTCTCAGCATTTTAAATGTTCACCATTATTCCAAGGAGCCAGTAAGAGATCTGATTGAGGCTGGGCACAGTGGCTCATGCCTGTAATCCTAGCACTCTGGGAGGCTGAGGCAGGCGGATTACTCGAGGTCAGAAGTTCGAAACCAGCCTGAGCAAGACCCCATCTCTACCAAAAATAGAGAGAAATTAATTGACCAACTAAAAATATATATACAAAAAATTAGCCAGGCATGGTGGTGCATGCCTGTAGTCCCAGCTACTCGGGAGGCTGAGGCAGAAGGATTGCTTGAGCCCTGGAGATTGAGGTTGCTGTGAGCCAGGCTGACGCCACGGCACTCACTCTAGCCTGGGCAAGAAAGTAAGACTCTGTCTCAAAAAATAAAAATTAAAAAAAAAAAAAAAAAGAGAGAGAGAGCTGATTGATGAAAGAAACTAAAAGTATTTAGAAAAATCCTAACGTACACTTAATGCCTGATCTGGAAGTTTTTTCCACACTTCTTTCTTGAGGTGGTACTTAGTTTTTACCACTCAATCGAGTGACAGAAGTTAATTCGGCAAGTAAGGCAATAATTATTTAATATTTCTTAGGCTCTCTGGTCTCATTATTCAAGCCATGAATCAGGCCCCAAAAAAGCTTCCCATCATCTCACCCTTTATTTTCTTGTGACTTCTTCTCTGCAGTATTGCAGTCATAGACAAAGAGGCTGTTGTCATCGCTAAAAAGAAATAACAGAATGATTTCAAAAGGAGCCCTTTGTTAATAAAAATGCTGACTTCCCCCCCCAAAAAAATATCTGCATATTCATTAAATTATGGGTCTTATCCATGACGTGAAAGTTGTCTAGGCACAATAATGCAGGGAACAGCTAAGGAGCTTTATTTGCTTAATCTGCCGTTTGAATCTGTCCCATACAACCTGCGTGTTTCTGTACAAATAAAATTAGTTCAGAAAAACAAATGGGGGAAAAACAAGCAACAGAATTAATATACTATTCTTTCAGGCACCAGAACATCAATGCAACCTGGTTATAAGAAATTATGGGCCAGGCGTGGTGGCTCACACCTTGGCCTTTGGAAAACCAAGGTGGGAGGATTACTTGAGGCCAGGAGTTTGAGATCATCCTGAGCAACACAGTGAGACCCCATCTCTACAAAAAATTATTAAACATTTACCAGGCGTGGTGGCACACACCTGTAGTCCTAGCTACTCAGGAAGCTAAGGTGGGAGGACCACTTAAGCCCAGGAGTTCAATGTTGCAGTGAACTATAATCGTGCCACTACACTCCAGCCTGAGTGACAGAGCAAAACCCTTTTTTTAAAAAAAAAAAAAAAAAAAAAAGGAAAGAAAAGAAAATATGTTCTGATATTGTTGAGTTTTCACTGAGATTTTGCACATTTAAAACCGGCCTTTCTTGTTTAGAAAAATGTCTCACCTACCAAAAAAGATCCCATGACCCCCACACACTTACCTACATGGGAATTACCCATCTTCCTCCCTGATTAGACTCCCTTTGGTTTATTCCCGCCCTGTCACATACAAGGTATCTTACACATATTTATAGTCTTTACAGTGATTGCACCAAAACAATTTCCACGTGGAACACAGGACTGTAGAAGGAGAACTTGTCTTCCAAGTCCAAAACTTTGCCAGTCACCAGATTTCCTCAAAAGGCACAGACTAAAGCAAGTATATTGAGTCTAATATGCCAGTGGCTCAACCGTGCCATGTATTACACTGTGAATCTCTGAAACTAAATAATCTGGGATACATGACAGGTTCCGAAGTCATTTTTTAGAGATCTAAATTAAACATCAAATTGGCTTTCTGAAACTAGACGTTTCAAAGAACATACTGTTCATTTGACAGACACGTTCTGTTTCCAGTAGGAAAGAATCAACACTACCATGGGAACAGAAACAAGGGGCTGAAACTGACCACAACTCATTCCCGCGAGGCTCCTGGGTCAAGATTATTCAATCAACAAATATTTACTGATTTAAAAATCCCCGGCGTCGTCCTCGCAGTGGGGATAACGAAGGCAGGGAATGAAATTACAGAAAGCAAAAGGAGATTGGTGTGACGGACGGGCTACTAGGGAGCTGCACCCCAGGGTGTGGAAGGGTCGGAGGAAGCAGGCGCTTGGAGCTCAGTGACGATGCGCCGACGGGGAGCCCCTCTCCCCAGGGAGGCTCGGGCCCGGTTCTCCGCGTGCCCCAGAGCGCTTCTGGCCAGCCTCGCCTGACGTGACCCGGCCCACCCGGCCCCAGCGCAGCGGCCGCAGAGTCCGGAAGCGTCCGGACGAGACCCGGGCAGAGCGCCGCAGAACCACGCCCAGGGCGCAGGGCCCGCCGTGAGTGGTGTGGGGCGCGCCGGGGCCTGGGCGGGGGCGCCGAAGGCAGAGGCTTGACGCCCGGAGAGCGGCTGGGCTAGGCGGCTGAGGGCTCCCCAGCAGGCGCCCCAGGGCGGAGCATCCCCAGCGGCGCGGGGCAGTCGGGGTCGCCAGGGCTTCCCGCTCCCAGACCGCCTCACCTGCTCGCAGTGGAGGTGGCCAGGAATCGGCTGCCACCCCGCACCACCAGCGTCTGCCCGCACAACGCCAGCCCCGCGGAACCCGCCATGCCGCGCCGCCGCACACGTGCGCCCCTTCCGGTCGGCGCCGGGCTGTGGCGTCACGCGCAGGCGCCGGGAGGTGACGCGACGCCCGTCCTTGCGCGTGCGCAGAAGGCGCCGTGTGCCTTGCTCCTCCCGGGCGGTTTGGGGCCGTTGGGGGCGCGGGCTCGGCGGCTCCCAGAGTTTATCCAACGGAATTCCGCGCGTCACTCGCGATTGCAGGCGCTCGCCTCATTTTCGTCTTTTCCCTCAGACTGGGCACGGCCGGCTCTGGATCCCCTTCCCGCTGTAGCTGGCGCGCCGTGGACAAAACCAAGTACCCACTTGGTGCCCAGTAAATGCTCCTCCAAGAAATTTGTGCGTTCGAGTGAATGCCAGGTCCGGGAGGGGCTGAGGGTGGGTGGCTGGAAGTGAGCCTACCTGACCTCTGCACTTAGGCACTCCAGAAACACCTTGCCCTCCAAGTCTCCCACCTGCAAGTGGTACTTTCCCTTTCCTTTTCCTTTTCTTTTCTCTCTTTCTTTTTTTTTTTTTTTAAGACAGAGTCTCACTGTGTTGTCCAGGCTAGAGTGAGTGCCGTGGCGTCAGCCTAGCTCACAGCAACCTCAAACTCCTGGGCTCAAGCGATCCTCCTGCCTCAGCCTCCCGAGTAGCTGGGACTACAGGCACAAGCCACCATGCCTGGCTAATTTTTTCTATATATATTAATTGGCCAATTAATTTCTTTCTATTTTTAAGTAAGAGGTGGCTCCTCTTCGCATCAGCTGATTTCAAACTCCTGACCTTAAGCGATCCGCCCACCTCGGCCTCCCAGAGTGCTAGGATTACAGGTGTGAGCCACCGCACCCGGCCGTGGAAGTGGTATTTTCAACCCAAACTGTGGTTTATCTTCTAGCGTTCTTCCCAAGATCCCCCAAAGTCTCATCTGATGGCAGCATCAGGCTTAAAATCGAGGCTCACCTGGTTTGTTCAGGGTGGGGGGTGGTTTCTCCCATGCAGCTCCTCTCCTGCCAGAGACCTGCCCAGTAGAAAGATGAATTGTCTACCCTACACACTCAGTGTGTGGTGGTGACGCAGGGAATGGTAGCCACAATAAACGTGTATGTGTGGGGAAAAAAAGGGGGAAGGACAGGAGACACAGAGTGACGCTGGTCCACAGCGATTCTGAAATCCACTTGGAAGTAGTCCTTGAGTAGGCCGGCATTCTGCGCTGGCAGGATTTCCCTGGCCTGATGTCAGCAGGAGTCTTGCCTTTGCCCTCTTGGGTGTCCTTCTTTCAGCACTTTGCTTGCTGTTTTGAAGACTGACCTTTGAGCAACTTTCTCAACCTACTTCCTGCCTTTATCAAATTGAGGGCCCACTGGCACTTTTTCACTTTAAACTGTCCAGTCCACGTTACACCAGCTAGCCGGGCTTTGTTCAATACAACTCCTTCATTTTATTTTATTTTATTTTATTTTATTTATTTTGAGACAGAGTCTCACTTTGTTGCCCAGGCTAGAGTGAGTGTCGTGGCGTCAGCCTCGCTCACAGCAACCTCAAACTCCTGGGCTCAAGCAATCCTTCTGCCTCAGGCTCCCGAGTAGCTGGGACTACAGGCATGCGCCACCAGGCCCGGCTGTTTTTTTTCTATATATATTAGTTGGCCAATTAATTTCTTTCTGTTTATAGTAGAGACCGGGTCTGGCTCTTGCCCAGGCTTATTTTGAACTCCTGACCTCGAGCAATCCGCCCTCCTCAGCCTCCCAGAGTGCCAGGATTACAGGCGTGAGCCACCATGCCCGGCCTAATACACCTCCATTAAATATTCTGTGGCCTTCTCATGATCTGATTCAAGAGGCCACTGCCACTGCTCTTTTGAAACAAGCCTCTCCTTTAAGATTTTTAAGAAATCCTTATGTATTGCTGCAAGAGTGTACTAGACATCATTTAAATCATTAAAATCACCTTGGCTTCAACATCATTCTTTAGGCCATATTTCACCCCATCCCAAATTTGATATTGGTCCCAAGTTTTTACTTTGAGAATTTTTTGCCAACAACAGAGTCTGATGATGAGCATCTGCTGCCTCCCCCAATCCAGCACATCCTCTAAATTCAATTTGAAAACTGGCCAGTTGTGGGTTTTTTTGTTTGTTTTTTAGCACATCTCTTTTCTGTAGTGTCTTAATATATTCATGTAAAAGAAACAGGGTAATTTCAATATTATGCCAAGAGATGAACTTGGCCCAAGTGCAAAAGAGTTTAGTAGGTACCTTTTTCTTTAGTCCATGTTGCTGCAGGGCAACAGTGTTACCAAATCTTTCGCCACAACACAGTATCAGTCACTATTTGTCCACCTCCTATAGTTTTCTCACCACTGTCCAGTATTCACTACCAATTTCTTCACTGGTTTTCTGGGCTTCTGGTCCCAAAGCTAATGCCACATGTTATAGCAGCACCCACTTCTCGGTACAAATATCTGTAGCATGTACACCTCCATGGTAGTCCTATACGCAGATCCACAACCTTATGAACATTACAGCCACTTTTGTAATTGATCCAGCAGATAAGCCTACAGGGAGTGTGGACCTTCCTTTTTCCATTGAGAAACCTATGGATTGTTTCTTGTGTTGTATTTCTAGTCCTGTCGTGAGTGAAATGTATTAGCAACCTGGGAATCCTTGAGTTAGAATAATAGGAGCATGGGCATAAAACTCAGCATTTAAATCTTGGCATACTGGCAAGACGGGAAGTAAGCATTGTCCCAAGGTCCTTGAGTTGTGTTTTTTTTTTTTTTAAGTGTATAAAAACAAAAACAGAGACCGATCAATTTTATAGTGGTTGTAATGGTTACCCCAAATATCTACCCCTGGAACCTGTGAATGTGACCTTACTTGGGAAAAGTGTCTTTGCAAGTGTCATTGAGTTAAGCATCTCAAAATGAGATAATCCTGGACTTGTGTGGGCCCTAAATCCAACGACTTGTGTTCTTAGATGATAAAGGAGAAGACCCAGAGGAGAAGGCCATGTGAAGAAGGAAACAGATTGAAGTTACATGGCCACAAGCCAAGGATTGTGGGCAGAACCAGAAGCTAGGAGAAAGGCAAGGAAGAATTCTCCTCTGGACCCTTCACCGGGAGTGTAGCCCTGCCAACACCCTCACCTCAGACTCGGGCCTCCAGAAATGCAAGAGAATGAATTGTTATTGTTTTAATCCACCTAGTGTGTGATAATTTAAACATGACAGTGTTTTTTTAGTATATAAACAGAATGTGCACTCATCACCACAATCAATTTTAGAACATTTTCATCACCCACAAAAGAAACACTGTGCCCATTAGCAGTCACTCCCCATTTCTCCCTCCTCTCAAACCCCTGGTACCCATTAATTTATTTTCTGTCCTATGGATTTCACTGTTCTAAGCATTTCATATAAGTGGAATCATATAATGTGTGTGATGTTTTGAGACTGGCTTCTATCACTGAGTATAATGTTTTCAGGGTTCATGTGCATTATAACATGTATCAGTACTTCTTCATTTTTATGGCTTAATAATATTCCATTGGATGGATATACCACATTTATCTTTGGCTGTTATGAATAATGCTGTTACGCACATTCCTCTAGGAATGGAATTGTGGAGTCAGTTTTAAGAAACTTCCAAACTGTTTTCCCAAGTGGCTGCAACATTTAACATTCCCACCTGTACTACATGAGGGGCCCAGTTTCTCCACATCCTCACCAACACTTGTCATTATTTGTCTTTTTGATCCCAGCCATCCTAGTGGTGGTAAAGTGGTATCTCATTGTGGTTTTGATTGCATTTCTGTAATGACTGATAATGTTGAGCATCTTTCCATGTGTTTATTATACATTTGCATATCTTCTTTGGAAAAATGTCTATTGATATTCTTTGTCCGTTTTATAGTTGGGTTATTTGTCTTTTTGCTATTGAGCTCTAAGTATTCTTTATATATATATATATATATATACACATATATATTTTGTGTGTGTGTGTTTTTGAGACAGTGTCTCTCTCTGTCACCCAGGCTAGAGTGCAGTGGCATTAGCATTGCTCCTGCAACCTCAAACTTCTGGGTTTAACCCTTTGCACATGCTTGCTTTTTTCTCAATTCCTTTATTCTACTCGGGATTTAATTTTTAAAATACCCCAGATTTTACAAAGCGCGGCAGTAGAATAAAAAACTGGAGTTTCTTTTCATACAAACTTGTTTGGATTTTTTTATATTTCAAATTATTGATACATTCAAAGAGTAATTTTAATCTCTATAATTTTTCATGATGTGAGCTGCTACCGATGCTAACCGTGTCGAGTCACACTTGACATCCGAGTGCAAAGGGTTAAGCAATTCTCCTTCCTTAGCCTCCCAAGTAGCTGGTGTGAGTCACCAGCCTGGCGAATTTTTTGTAGAGATGGGGGTCTCACTCTTGCTCAGATTGGTCTTAAACTCCTGGCTTCAAGGGATCCTCCCACCTCAGCCTCCCAGAGTGCTAGAATTACAGGCGTGAGCCACCACACCCAGCCTTATATATTCTTGATACAAATTCCTTGTCAGGTATATTACTTGTCTTTTACAATTTATTTAAAATTATACTCCCAACAAAGTCTTATTTCCTGAAAAAGATAATTATTTGTTTTTTTCTGCCAATAAAAATACAGTCCAAAATAATGTCACTAATAATCAACAATACTAATGAAACTTTTGGGTGATAGACAAGATTGAACATTGGACCTGCCTTTGTCTTTTGAATCCATACCCTTATGCAGGGAGGGACCAATTACTGTGTTATGGCATGGTGAGGTAGTTCATGCCTGTAATCCCAGCACTCTGGGAGGCCGAGGCAGGAGGATCACTTGAGCTGAAGAGTTTGAGACCAGCCTGAACAAAAGCAAGACCCCATCTCTATCAAAAATAGAAAAATTAGCCAGGTGTGTTGGGGAACGCTTGTAATCCCAGCTACTCAGGAGGCTGAAGCAGTTTAGTTTGCATTCTCAATGACTCTCTAACTCTGAGTCACAGATCTCTGCACAGGCGATCTAAATTGAGGAAGGGCCTCTTTCCCTGTGGAAGTTGGAGGGTGAACTAAAATAGACTAAAATAAAATCTTAAGACTCAACCACCCACCGACTTACTGAATGGACCCGCCCCCATGGCCAAAGCAATATCCTAAAACTAAATTGTCTGCCAGGAGGAGTGAGGTCAGACATGCCTCATCATGTCCCCCCTCACTTGTTGAGGACATCCTTTGTAACCCATTAAGAGGCCTACTGGTATGCAAGACAAACCTACAGGTCCTCAATTTACACAAATATATGTCTGGTGGTATATCTCTGAAAAATAGCTCCTTATTTTAAAACATTCCAAGCCTTTAAACAAAGCTTCATGTCTTTAACCAACTACAAGTTAAAGAATCTTTAAACCCACCTATAACCTGTAAACCCCCCTTGAGATGGCCCACATTTTCGGGCCAAACCAATGTATGCCTCCCACGTATTGATTTATGACTTTACCTGTAACCCCTGTCTCCCTGAAATGTATAAAACCAAACTGTAACCCAACCACAGCGAGTCCACTTGCTCAAGCATCTTGGGCATGGCTCCGGGTCACAATCCTCAAATATGGCTCAGAGTAAATCTCTTTAAAATTATTTTACAGAGTTTGGCTTTTTTTTTTTACATTAACAAATGAAATACAGGGTGCAGGGTGTGTGTGTGTCAGGGGAGCTTTAATGAATAGGAAGAGAAGCTGAAAACTACACCTACTCCACAATTATGCCTAACTTTGGGGGCAAAATGTTTGTTCTAAAAGCTATAAACATTCAGGTAAAATAAACCCTCCATTTCCAATCTGCCTAACTCTAATATTAGTGTTGGCATAGGCCAAGAACAAGCCCGCGCCACACAGAAAGGGCAGTGCATGGTGGTGCCACGTCGGCGGCAGGGTGAGGATCTGATCTGACGCCACAGCTGGAGCTTTAAAACCCACAAGACAGGAGCGCCAGAGCGCTAGGGCCCGGTGTGTACGGCTGTGCGCCCACGGAGGATTTCAGACTCAAGGGTGAGCCGACAAAGGCAAAGCGAGAAGCGGCGAGGCGGGAATTCAGCCTTATAACTAACTACCTGCGAGGTCCACGCACCCCAGCAAGAGCGCGCAGGGCACCTCGCACTGCAAGGACAGCAGCCGGGGCGGTCCAGGCCGGCACCTGCCCGGGGCTGACCCTTGCGCCCCTGCCTCTGATTGGCGGCCCCGCCCCAGGGGCGTGGCCTCGGGGCGACTCTCAGGGAGCCCGGCTGGGGATGCGCGCGCAGGCTCGTGGGCTCTGCCCCGCCCCAGCTCGCCTGTGATTGGCAAACTCGGCCCAAAGGGCGGGGCCTGCGGCGCCGGTGCGTGCGCAGCGGCCGCTTCGCTGCCGGGTTCGTGCAGGTGTCACCGCCATGGCGGCCTCGCTTTTGCTGCGGCAAGGACGAGCTGGGGCGGTGAAGGTAAAGAACCCTGCGCCTCCTGGAGCCCTGTGGGGGCCGGGGTGGGGGGCGCGGCGCCGGCCAGGCCAGGGCCTGCGGGCGACCTCCGGCCGCGGACCCGCTGCCTGGGCCCAGGCCGAGGAGGCCTGACGGGGTCAGGCCGGGTGGGCGTCCCGCAGCCCCCGCCGCGGCGCGGGGCTGAGACTGCGCGCGCCCGGTGCAGAGCGGCCCCCTGCGCGGAGGTGTGCCCGCAGGACCTGGGTCACCTGGGGAGCTCCTCAGGTGTGCGAGCCTGGGCAGCGGACGGCTGCGGACGTTCCCCCGGCGATCCTGCTGCGCCGCCGTGATTCTGCCCGAACCGCACGGCTTCTCTGGGACGACGTCTGTCTTACCCAGCCGAGGGAGCACAGGAAGGAACTTTCAGGGACCTGGTTGACCCAGTAACTTACCTGGTAGCCGTTAGGAAGCCAGCTTACATTACCTGACCCGTGAAAAGGGGAAAGAGGGCTTTCTTTCTCATAAAAAGCTAAAGCCACTTCACAATTTTAAAATATGAAAATTGTTATTACAAAATAAGTTACCATTCACTGCAAGATAATTTAAAGTACAGATGAGGGGAATTCATCGTCAGTCCACCATTTACTTCCAAGTATCTAGTTCCTAAGAATTTTTTTCAGCTTTTATATGTAAATATAAGCATGCTTACAGTCATAAACATAAATGTTATGTTCATATGTGCACATGTAGACACCTCTGTTCTGTGTCTAGCTTCTAGAACATTGTACTATTCCAGCACTTAGTAGGCCTTGGTATCTGCTGAGTGAACTAAAATGATATAAAATGTTTTTCACTTATATTGCAAACACTTTTGAAGCAGTTATTATTTATCTACATCATTTTTAATGGCCAGATAGTATTTCTTCTCCTTTACTTTATTTCCCCCCCTTCAGTAAAGATACTTCCCAAATATAAGAAAACATTTGTCCGTCCCCCAGATGGTGCGCACTGCACCCGTTGGGTGTGAATATACCCATCCCATCCCCCCCACTCCCATCTGCCCCACACCTGATGAAAGTTACATAGTATTTTGGCCCAGGCCCAGTGGCTCATGCCTATAATCCCAGTGGGAGGATCACTTGAGATCAGGAGTTCTACATTGGTAGAAATTGGCAAAATATGGAGATCACGTGTCTACAAAAAAAAAACTTTTTTTTTTTTTTTTGAGACAGAGTCTCACTCTGTTTCCTGGGCTATGGCGTAAGCCTAGCTCACAGCAACCTCAAATACCTGTGCTCAAGCAGTACTCCTGCCTCAGCCTCCTGAGTAGCTGGAACTACAGGCATGTGCCACCATGCCCAGCTAATTTTTTATATATATATTTTTTGTCGTCCAGCTAATTTCCTCCTATTTTTTAGTAGAGACAGGATCTCACTCTTGCTCAGGGTGGTCTTGAACTCCTGAGCTGTTCAAACCATCTGCCCTCCTCAGCCTCCCAGAGTGCTAGGATTACAGGCATGTGCCTATAGTCCTAGCTGTCCAGATGCTGGGATGGGAGGATCACTTGAGCCCAGCTGTTGGAGGTTACAGTGAGCTATCATCACACCACTGTACTCCAGCCTGGACAATAGGGTAAGACCATGTCTCTTAAAAAAAAAGACAAGACATACAGTAATAACATTCATCAAGTGTCAGGCAGGTGGGAGGGGGGAGGAGGCTATGGGGTATATTCACACCTAATGGGTGTGGTGTACACCATTTGGGGGATGGACATGCCTGAAGCTCTGACTCAGGTGGGGCAAAGGCAATATATGTAACTAAACATTTGTACTCCTGTCATATGCTGAAATTAAAAAAAATTAAAAAGAAAAGAAACAGTAGTTTGTAGGTTAACAGATAACTGGAGACTACAAAAAGAAAGTACAGAAGAGTGGCCTTTTTTTTTTTTTACAAAAGTTTATTTTTTAAAAGTATACATTATTATGTTTGTTTTCGCTCAGATAAAAATACTACAAGATGTTATGTGTATAATAAGAGAGGGTAGGTAGGTTATGTCCATCCACATTTTGGGAGGACCAAATAGGTTAATGTCAAGTTTCCCCATACATTTTTCCTATCGCTCCTGCTCTTCCTCTTCCCACGTGGCTTACTGTACAGAGAAGGAGGTTCTATAATGGAAGACGACACTATCATAATCTCAGTGTTTATTAATAGGAAAAAATAATGATAAATCAACCCCTTACTAGTAGTACCTGCCATACACTGTGTTGGCTGCTTTATACAAATTAACCTCATTCATTTGTATAAAATAGGTACCATTATTATCCCTCCTTTAGAAATAATTTGAGGATCAGAAAGGTTAAATACATTGGCCATTAAGTGGCAGTCAGTTCTCATTCAGCTTTACCATCTCTAGAAAACAAACCCAGAGGTTTTAAATTTTATTTTTTAAGGGGCTTGGCTATTTTTAGCAGAAGGAATCTGCAATCACATATGCTTTATTTTTTAATTAATTTTTTTTTTTTTTCTTTTGAGACAGAGTGTCACTCTGTTGCCCGGGCTAGAATGCCGTGGCATCTGCCTAGCTCACAGCAACCTCAAACTCCTGGGCTCAAGCTCTCCTTCCCCCTCAGCTTCCCAGAGTGCTAGGATTACAGGCATAAGCCACCATGCCTGGCCAGTCACATACTCTTTAATCTCTACTCCCCAGCACAGAATAAACATTTATCAGGATGGTATTGAAATATTTACCACTTCCTCTGCAGTTCTCCTGGCTATTTCACCTTTGTGCTTTTGCTTGAGCACTATCTGGAACATTCTTCTTGGATGGTAGAGCATTTTCCACAGATCCAATTCTTACCTCTCTTTCCAATACTCCCTGCTTTTCAGAAGTCTTCCCTGATCCCTGCCCAGAAGCACTTCACTGCATTTCTCTCTTAACTATATTGGAGTATCTTAAAAATGGACGTCAGGACCAGTACCCTTGCTAGAGTGTCCCATCTGTAGAAAGAATTCCACTTAAAATGTGTTGGCCTAATTTTCAGCTAGAGGATTGGAGCATAGCTCATTATCAAGCTGGCTTCCCCCAGAGGATGGGGACACTGAGGCCTAGAGAAAGTTTTCGTTTGCTCAGGATCTCACTGTGACCTGGGTCAGAGCCCAGGACTTGTGGGACCACAATCCATGCACTTTTCACTGCCTGGGCTGCCTCTCAGAGGAAATGAACACGAATATCTGCTTGCCCTTTCAGTAACCTGAGTATTAATAGTGATTGCCCTCAACTTGAGTGTTTTCTTCTTACAAAGTTTTTGCATTTTCCAAAATTTCCATAATATACATACATTATAAAAATTTTAATAACCATTAGAAGTATGCCATATGAATACTTTGCATTTATATATAGTAGTAATACATGCTATTCATATATAGTAATTCCTGTTATAAAGAATATTCTAAACATCCCTGTTTGTTAATTCTTTTGTCAGACTCTGTTCCTGGAAGCGCGGGTGTTTCAAGGATTTGCTTCTACAGTTCCTCTCTCTGCAGAATCAGGGAAGAGTGAAAAGGAAATGCCACCAAATTCCAAGAAGCAAAGTCCACCAAAAAGTAAGATTTTATTGGTAGTCATAAGGGAAAGAGACTACACAGTAAATTGATCATTCAGCCTTTCAAGCATGAAAATGAATTTTACCAGCTATAATTTATGGCTCTTCATTTTCAGCAGTGTCCAGATTATAATCAGACATAGATCTGTAACAGATTTTAGACCAAACACATCAGTAATGTAATAGTGTTTGACTCCGTGTTTAGCCCTGAAACTGATGCTTTCTGCATTCTCTAATTGCCAAGCTTCAACATGGGGCTAGTGGTGCCAAGGGTAAAGGCATGGGGGGGCGGCTCTTCATGTAGGAGGCCGCATTCAAGAAACTTCAATTAGATACACTTAAAAATGTACATTATTTTGTAAACGTCTAACTACTATGTACTTAATGATTTCAAAAAATGAAAACTATTTGTTCATTTTAAAGTTAACTAACCTTTTAATGACTCTGATGTGTCTTCTTTTTGTTGGAAAGCATTTGAATATTTGGTTGCAGTGTGAAGGTCTGCAGTTTCAGTTGATTCTCTAGATGGGTATCATCAGTCATTTGTGACCTTGAGGGCATCTTGATTTGGGTTAGGTAGGAGAATGCAGATTCACAGCAGTAAGTGGTTGAAAAGCATTTTTCGGGCATGTTGCTGAAGGCGTGGGTATTCTGTAGTTTTTCCATATTTCTATTGGATCTTTCTTAGCATCAAACAGTGACTTTAAATTGGCATCTATTGAGGGCTCAGTTCTACTGAGAGCTCAATCAATTCCATCTGTGGTTCTTGGGTGCCTTGGGGATATCAACTAGGTGAGGCTGAGATGCTAATTAGAGTGTGGTGTCATGATTCTCAAAGTCAGTGAACCTTTCATTGTGTTCTCCAGTTAGTAGGTCTATAACAGCTGGGTATTCTTTAAATGATTCGCATATATCATCCTACTCATCAGTGACCTCTGCTAACTGGGAAAAATGTTCATCCAAAATTTCCTTTTGAAGAAGTATTTTGAAAAAAGATAGCTTTTTTCTGAAATGCTTGGATTTTTGGCCACATATCATATATAGACTTAGTTTTACCTTGCTATCAAATATTCAGATCATTTTGATTTGACATGATAATCGTACAGAAATACTGCATTCCTGTGGAAATATTTTTTTATTTTTTTTACCTCCTTTTACTATCATTCCCAAGAAATCTTCTTTCAATAACTCACATTGCTGATTCTGTCCTTTATAACATTTAATTATTTGTTCTTGCAGAGAGAAAATTTTGGCTAACACCTGTCCCTGCCATAGCCAACACACTTTAGAATGATACAGCAAATCCACACTGATATTTCTTCCCGCAACTTTAGCATGTTACAAGACTGAGGAAAACTGAGGATGCTGTGTTGCATTCGCAGGGATATAGTTAGCAGTACTTATAACTTGTTGCCAAGTGTCACTTAAAATAGCTTTAGCACAGATTTTGCTGATGCAAGATACAATGAAAAGAAATGAGAGCATCTGGATCTGTTAATACTTTTTATAATCTGTGCAATAAACCCTTCATGTTTTCCTGTCATGGAAGGTGCACCATCTGTATATAACACTTACTAAATTTACCAAATTCAGTTCAACTTCACGACATTTATCTTGAAAGTTGTTGAAGATATCTATTCCTTGGGTTCTGTTCGCATGAGTGCCCAAAGCAAATAACCCTTCTGTTATGACCCGAATGAACTATAGAAACTGTGCAGAGTCAGTAGTATCAGGTGATTCATCCAAAGTGATTGAATAGTATATATTTTCCTTTTGAAGTATTGCACGAAGTTCTGTTAAGTTGAAAGCTAATTCATGCTGCAGATTAGTTATGGTTCTCTTTGAAAGAGGCAGTTCTTTGTTCTTTGAAACGTTACTGGGCTCTGAGCATCCTATGACTTTGACAGTGCATTTTTTCACAATTTCTATATCACTGAATGGCTTCCCTTTTTTCCCCAAGTATATAAGCTACTTTATAAGTTGCTTCCATGGCATTATTTCAAGGTCCTGTGGCTGCTTGAAATAATTGTCTTTGTTTTTGCTTTTCATCTTTTAATTTCTGCAATACAACCTTTCACACCTCTCTCTCTAATTTAAAATATTTGTGGTTCTTATGAGTGTGTTATAATGCTGATAAGCAATGAATTTCTTTAATGTTGACATTGCAGTATCATAAAGCAAGCAAATCATCTTATCTTTAGCAGAAACAAGATAACATTGCAACTCCCAATCCTCATTTAAAAAATCTGTTTTCTTCCTTCAGCGTTCTCTTGGTCTTCTTTGACATGATGGGCTGTTAAGCAGACAGAACTAAAAATTACTGTCTAGCTTTGCAGCTATTCACAAATTCCACCTAAAACAGAAACACAGTGCACTGCTGTCAAAAACTGATAATGGGCCGGGTGCAGTAGCTCACGCCTACAATCCTAGCACTCTGGGAGGCCAAGGCAGGCGGATTGCTCAAGGTCAGGAGTTCGAAACCAGCCTGAGCGAGACCCCATCTCTACCAAAAATAGAAAGAAATTAATTGACCAACTAAAAATATATATACAAAAAATTACCAGGCATGGTGGCGCATCCTGTAGTCCCAGCTACTCGGGAGGCTGATGCAGGAGGATTGCTTGAGCCCAGGAGTTCGAGGTTGCTGTGAGCTAGGCTGACTCCACGGCACTCACGGTAGCCTGGGCAACAAAGTGAGACTGTGTCTCAAAAAAAAAAATTTGATAATAGACTGGCATACTTGACCCCCATAAACTCTGGCCAACCAGCCTAGCACGGGAGTGGCACCAGTCAGATGAGGGAAGTTAGAACTAAATCATGAGTGTAGCAGACTTTATGTCTTAAGAATGTTCTAATTGTGCCAGTCAATGTGGGGAGAGGATTATTTCATTGAAACTATTTCATTATTCATTTTAAAAATAAAGACTTCATTTTAAAAATAAAAAGATAAAGGATGAACAAAATTTAATAAAAATAAAAGGATTTTTTCTGTAAAATTTGGATTCAGCCAAGAGGCTGCACTTAAGGACCTAGAAGGCACATGTGGCCTTAAGGCCGCAGGCTGCCTGCCCTGGCAAAGGCTGTGTGGCATTTAGTGACCATGACATGAGTGAGAGTCCCCACTTTACTTTCCTTCCCCCATTCCAACTTTTTTCCGTCTCTTTGAAACCCATCTGTGGTTTCCCAGGCTTTGCGGAATCACAGTCCAGGACTGCAGGCATCATTTTATAGCTGGAGGGAGAGTTACGGGCAGGCAGTTTCCCACCGTGACTCACTTTGCTGATACATGTCTGACTATTGCTCGACTTCTTGCAGCAGTCATTTTGACTTTTATCACCAGTTTTTTGTTGTTTTTTTTTTTACATTTTTTTAAACTTTTTTCCCTCCCTTAATGTAGGAATGTAGCAATTCTTATTGAAGGAAACTAAGAAATGCAACAGATATTTTTAAAATGCTTCTTTTCTGGGAATAATGTTATTTCTACTCCCTGCCCATTATTAATAATTGGTTATGATGCAGGTACATTGCACTTAGCCTTCACTGCTGAAACCCCAGTTTACTCTTGAAAGAACATACAGTGCTAACTATCTCTTTGCAAATCTTTAGTTTTCAAATGCGATCATAAGATGAAAATTGGGTTTGGTCTTACTCATCAAATACCATTTTCTCAGTCTGAATGTTTGAAAGTATTTAGAATCTTTTGTTTTCTTCCTCCTTGGTCTGTGTACAGTACATTGGTAGGTTTAAAATACACCGGTTTGTAAGAGTTCTCCAGCCCCAAAGTGCCTCTCCCAGTGTGTTTGTCTTGGTGATGTGGAAACTCACCGTCCTGGTGGCGTCTACTCACCCTGTTGACTTGAGGCCTGAATTCCACAGGAACACTGTTCAGTTCCAGCTATAATACCTGCCTCATTTTTAATCCCATTGCTCTTTTCTTTTTTCTTTTTATAAGCTACAATATGTTATCTTTTTTAATGACAAATGTTTATATGTTCTTTTTAAAAAACATAATCACAATACCATGATCACCCTAAAAAATGTTTCCAACAAGAATGTCAGTTAATTCTGCGTTATACCTGGCGTGTTTTTGTTCGTTTTGAGATGGGGTTCTATGTTTCCCAGGCTGAACTCAAACTCCCTGGCTTTAAAGGATTTTCCTGCCTCAGCCTCCCAAGTAGCTGGGACTACAGATATGCACCCCATGCCCAGTGGTGCATGTTATACCTGGCATGTTTTTGACATTGTTTAAATGTTTATTGATAAACGATTGTGAAGTTCATTACTAATATAATTATATCATTTGGTGAATTTTAGTCTCATGTCTGCAATCTGACTTCGTAGATTTATGAATTTGGATTAAATAGATTTTAAGTAATCATGGCAGAACCAAAGAGCCCACTTTTGGAAATGTGTCTGTATGGAGTGGATGGGGTGTTCTGTCCTGTGCGTTTTTGGGTGAGGTTATGGAGAACCTGAGCTGGAGGTTGGCCTTGGGCTCTTTGTAGAGC